GGAGATGAGAGGAGGGCCGCGTCGGTTGACAGGAGAGCGGGGAGTGGATTGAAGAGAACGCTGTCGCCGCCTCCGGTATCAGTGCCGTCGTTGTCGGCTCCCGAGGTCCGGACTTCGACTCAAGATGCTCCGGACAAGTCGATAGGAGGCGGGGCAGGGTCGAATTTACCGCTGGGCTCAAGACAGGTCGATTATGGGTTTGATAACAGTTCGGGGCTGCTACCGCCAGGTGGGCCACCTCCTCTGTCTACAACGGGAGGACTTACGGATGATGACCGGTCGTCCGAGGGCATAGACGAGAATCTTCTGCAGCAAGAACTCGAAGCGAAATGGATACTGAACCTCAGTATGCATTTCCGCGATATGTCGGATCGGGAAAAATTCTTCATCACGTATGCCGAGGAACCGAACAAGTGGAGGCGGGTGACAGTGTCTTGCGATTATCGGGACGTGCCGTCGGACTCCCTCGAGGCGGACCTTAAGAGCTTGCATTATCAGCGGGATAAGAGCGCGCGTATATACGAGTCTATTCGCGACTCCCTCCCGGATATCCAGTTCTACGACACTGTCACGAATCTTAAGCTTCGAACGGATGATGGCAGGCTTCATGTTCATGTCACCGAAGATGTGAACGAAATCATTCCGTATCCGTCCACGCCAGCTATTGAGCATTTATCCTGTCCGAGGTTTCGGGAAAGCGCCATAAATTTCGAGTCACATATTTCTGGATTCGTGTATAAAGTCACTCTTGGGGGCAAGCTTTATATCAAGAAGGAGATTCCTGGTCCGGATGCTGTTGAGGAGTTTTTGTATGAGATAAATGCTCTTTGCAGTCTGCAGGATTCAAAGAGTGTTATTAGGTTTGAGGGGATTATTATTGATGAGAAAAGCGAGGTTATCAAGGGGTTGCTCATCAGCTATGCGGATCAAGGCGCTCTTGTGGACCTCATCTATGACTGGAAGAACTCGGAGAAGTTACCATGGGAGCGACGTGAGAGATGGGCAAAACAAATTGTTGAGGGACTTTCGGAGATCCACGAGGCTGGATTCGTACAGGGCGATTTTACTCTTTCGAACATCGTCATCGATGAGAAAGATGATGCCAAAATAATCGATATCAACAGGCGAGGATGTCCAGTCGGATGGGAGCCTCCAGAACTCGCCAACTTGATTGAAAATGGCCAGAGGATATCCATCTATATCGGAGTCAAGTCAGACCTCTTCCAGCTTGGAATGGTTCTATGGGCACTGGCTGAGCAGCAAGATGAACCGGAACGCCAAGAGAGGCCGCTCATCCGAAACTTTGCACGCTCAAACAGTATCCCACAGTACTTTCGGGATTTAGTCGTCGTTTGCCTGAGCGACAATCCTCGAGATAGACTATCTGCAAAGGACCTCCTCGCCAAGTTTCCGTCGGTCATCCCAGACCATTCAAAAACACTCGTAAACTCTCGCCACAGCGTATCAACGCATAGATCAGATAAAGAGTACATCGACCCAGCTACAGCTGTAGATCTTGAAGACATATCCAACTATCGCCACCGCCGCTCTCCCCGCTCCCATTCCTCCTTCTCCGCCGGCGGCATCACTTTCGCCGACGGCGCGCCATCGACTGAATACCAATTCGGCTCCTCAGGCTCCTACATTGTCCCGGATCCCCGCCGCGGTCGCCCTCCCACGACCAACAACAGGACGAACAGCAGGCGCCAATACGACTACTCGCCCTACGCAGCTCCCCGCTCCATCATGAGCCTTGACGACAGCGAGCTCGAGAACGAACTCGCCTCTCTCCCTGCTAGCCGCGAGCCCCGCTGGGAACAAGTCTACGTCGACGGTGACACTCGGCTCGTGCAGCGCCATAGCCTGGGCCTTGAGGGCCATGGCTTCGCGAGTCAGGGGGGTCCCGCAAGTATTTGTATCACTACACCACCTGGGGAGTTGGAGAATTCACTCGCGTCGAGTTTGAAGAGCTCGGATACGCCGCTGCAGCTTAGTGCGGCGGTGGTGGGGACGGTGGAGTTGCAGCCGCCCCCGGGTACGCCGCCGGGCCTAGGTTTGAGGAGGCCGAGTAGGAATGCGAGTTTTAGTGATCGGGTTGGTTGGCTTAGAAGGGATGAGGATAGTGCGCTTGCGGCTTTGGAAGATGAGGTTGAGGAAGAGATTGGTGGGCTGGGGGAGAAAGAGAGAAGGGTTGTGGGCGTGGGTGTGAGTGTGCTGCCGATGTTCAGTCCGCCTGTTCATCAGGACTCGGGGTTTAATGAACTGAGTACGGATGCTGAATTTTTGGAGGCTGAGGCGGCGAGGATTAGGCGGAGTTTGGAAAACCAGAGAGTGCGTGAGGTGGATGCGAGGGTTGAGAGGGCGATGTGGAGTGAGGAAGAGAAGTTTGAGGGGAAATGTGAGGAGGTGGTGGGGGCGTTGGAGAGGGTGGTCGAGGAGAAGTCGCCGGTTAAGCCCCCGTCGATTCTGATTCCTGAGTTCCATCATTCGGCGCCGGTGGTTGTGGAGATAGGGGAGAAGGAGAGGCAGGAGAGGGCTGGAGAGGGTATGTCCTGAAGAGAGGGAGTGGGTGTTGATATTGGATGAGGGAGGTTTGGGCTTCGATGGCGAGAATAATTTCAGGGCCTAGGAATGGGGGATTATCGACCTCTGATGGCATGCACGATTACTATCTACACGTCCAGCGGTTCGCCCCGACATGATATACCCATCTACGATATACCGCCACTACCACCACAGAAATCATCACTCCATCCGGCTCCAACCACCACATCCAAAGCACCAAGCAATTGTCCCTCCATTCAACCTACAAAGAATCTTCATGGACACTAAACACCACTCTTCCTCATTCAACATCACATTATCATATTTGTATAAAAACTCATACCATCATCCAAAAAACACTTTCATCTGGTTCTGGGGATTATCATCATCATAGCAAGTATTTCGGGAAGTTTTGGGCAAGACTTTGATTTTGGTTTGCTTCTCATTTTGCGGCATTTTCTTTGCACTTTGCGGGAACTTTTTCTGGACTTGTTGGGCTCTTTTGGGTCGTTTTACGAATATGAATGTTATGAATGTGCTTGAAGCTTTTGAGATGAGAGGAGAGGAGACTTGGACATTTTCGGGTAGAGTGTGTAATTATTTTGAGTAGCATTATTTAGTTGAAGTGAGAGATAGAAGTGAAGGGGGTTCTTAAAGGGGGTTTGATGATTACAATTTTCTCCCCAGGCTTCGAGTGAACAATTTATCAACTCTTTGAGAAGATGGAATTAAGTATTGCACCGTGTTAGCTTGTGTGGTTGGAAGTAATTTGAGAGGCGGACTGGGTTTGACTAAGTGATAAGAAATGACATAGTAGGTCGTATGCGTAGGGTTACCTCCTAGGCGTACACTTGATGGACATCCAAATATCGCAAATCTGCCCGAAAAGATTAAATCATTACAGCCACCTCGGTAATCTGCTGGGTCGCCCTTGCCCATATCTCTGTTAAGCAGAAAGTCGGAATCGTTTGAGATAAGAAACACATTCCTGTGGCCACTCTGGTAGTTCTGAGCGTAAGCAGAAATGCAAGCAGTGTTATCAGGCTTCGTTCATCGATTTTGCACCGCTCCTGCCTGCAGGCCTCTGACAAGATTCTCCCAACCTGCACCTCCAAAATCGAGACCATCTAGTGAACCATTATATTTAAACGGCTAGCATACAGAAAGGACTGCGTACTCAATCGCGAGCGAGCTAGAGAAAATTGAAAAAAATTGTAACTGTACAAATGGCCAGACCGAATCAAGTTCTGCACTGGATAGCCAACTCGCAATAGGTGGAGAGGTAGGGAGCTGAAAGCCAAACAAAAACCACAGCGCAACTCTTTTCCAGGTAATGGATCGACGATTGTGTATGCTCGTGGATGCCAGTGTCAAGCCACGCAGACTTGTGATGGGCTTTGTTAAAGACTTCTCGCGTTTGTACGGTTAGTACTTGCATAGTGTAGCTGCTTCCCAAAAGCCGCAATGTGCGTTGAGAATATGGATGAGAACATGGATTATGGTGTTGACGAGTACTGGTGGGGCAAAGAGGCCATTGATTATTATTCCAGATTCTCCATCCGACGGTGTACTTGCGTTTCTAATTCGCCCAGCGTGAGCGTGAAGGTGTTTTGATTGGCGAGAGGCGATATCGGCCTTCTTCGGTGGATGCGACGGACACAGTTCTCTCTATAGTAGCCATGCAGGCCTAATTGCATAAGCGGAAGAAAATTCACCTCAGAGGTTCATGATTTTAAAAAAAAAAAAAAAATAAGAAAAGAAAAGAAAAGAAAAAGGCCGAGACGAGATTAATAATGCCAGTCAACGACCTATTTTTCCAAGATAAGGTCCTATAAAATTAATTGCAAGTGAAGTTTTCTAAGGCAGCACCTACTTGTATAATATCGCCTTCACATTTTAAATTCAATCAAAGTAAACATGAATGCACTACCGCGGCATAGAAATGCGTGGTTTGGGGCAGTTTTTGCTTGTGGGCCTGTTTGTTCTGTAATGGAAACTGCGGACGCTTGGTAAGAGGATCGGCGACTGTCTAGATATGAGTTATCTCTACAAGCGACTGGAGAATGGCCGTCGGAATGCTCATATCCCCTGAGGCAGAATTAAAGAGAGCTCGCAATAAGCAAATGCTGTAATAATGAACATCAAGTGTCTGTTTCTGATGACGCAACTGTAGTGCGCATACTCCGTGACCGCAGCTGCCACTCCTATTACTGAAATGTTTCTCCTCGAAACGGCGTATATTGTAGAGGGTTTTCTGATCTTTATCGTTCCAGGGTTTGATTTCGGAAAGGCTTTTGGCTTTACGTGTGAACTTTGTCGGGAATGTTTGGGGATCGTAGAACGCAGTTATAAACATATTCTTGAAGTTCCACTTCACCACCTGTTAGCGTAGGGTATCCGAAGGAGAAAAAAGGGAGGGCCTAAATATGTTTCTTTCTGATGTTATTCAACATCTAGCTTTGATTGCTTAGTGGATTAGAGCGAAGGATTGCGGTTATGTCTCAAATATCCTAAGGTTGGCGCTTCGGTCGCGTCTCAAAGCTCCTTTTTCGCTCCGTTCTTGAAGTCTGCAGAGCTTTTTTTCTTTTTGCTCTCAGAAGTAATCTAAAGGGCGACCAGATTACTTGTGTTCTTAGCATCGTATTACGAAAATTAGGGGGAGGTTCAAGGAGCTGCAGAAAGGCGCTTTCCGTCCCCAGACGATCGAGAATCAATGAGGGGAAGAGAAGATGATTCGGAGAGTCGTTGGAGCAAAGGAGGGTCTGTCGAAAAATGTGATTTTGCTGGAATTAGCGTGCTTCATACGGCTGAAAGAGTCCCGGAGGCAGCTTCCCATCACTTCGCGAATGATTTTAGATAGAACCTCAAACAATCATATTTGCTCTTGCCTCAGCAACCCGTAAATACTTTTATTTGTTTGTCTCCATGGTAGTCGTGTTGATCGACGGAACTGCGAAAGTTTGAGACACTTGAGTAAGTAATAAAGTTGAAATAGAGCGAAAAAAGAAGGGTGCTCAATATATCCGTAAGAAATTTAGGAGTGAAATGGTTGTAGTGAAAAAAGTTTGTCGACTATCACGGCCACAGCTCAAGCGCCACTACACTAGCCACTTCATCAGGCCCAGTAATAGAAGTATGATTGCTCTTCCTCGATAATATAAGAGCCTCCTGCTCTTTAAATTGACAGAGTTCTCTTCTTCATGCATCAGCACCTTCCTCAGCTGACAAAAGTACATTGCGATTTAGCACGAACCTGCAGCGCCTTGAAGCCTTATATGCGTCACAACACTTCATTCCCTCCACTTCCCTTCTGCCGCCGGGAACGCACGCTCAGTCCCTTCCTGGCAGAAATTTAATATTATCTCTCCATTGACGAAATTCGCCGTAGATCGTACGCCTCGTTCATTGTCTATGCTTAATGGACAGCTTTCAATTTTTTGCTGCATTTTCGGTGGCTGTGTCAGCTAGGGCAGTAGCTGATGTAAAATGATGAAGAGGAACTGAAGATTGGATTGATAGTGGACTATAGCCTATATACTGAGGAGAGGGCTGTCGCACCTCCCAGTAGGGGTGTCTCATCATGATACAGTTGATAAAGCGAGAGCTGTAACACCATAGCCAACAGGCTGCATGAAACGCGCAAGTCCAACCACGGAGTGAGAGGAAGTATAAAGGCGATGAATGGAAGGATACGTAATCGTCAGCACGTATCGGGGAAGTTTGATACGGGTAGTCGCCGTCACGGGAAAAGGATATAATCCAAATCCGATCGTATTCTCCATTGTAAATCTATCGTTCTAAAACACGTATCATCTTGAATAATCGAAGTTAAAAGAAACCATACAAAGAATCTAAACCCACCCCCAAAGCTCGCCTCCACAACCTTCACTATTTCAATAAATCCTCTACGATCTAAACCTCATTGAAAGAAATCAAGAAACGAATGACGTCATTACAAGATAAACACGGGAACAAATCATATAAATCAAACCATGGGAGCTGGGGTTTAGGGGCTCTCTTCCCTCCATCCCAATCTATCTTTCAGTCTACCCCCTAATCTGCTCATCAACCCACTTAACTAAATGCCCAACAGTCGGATGCCCCCACACTAACGTCGGCGGCACCTTAACTTTCAGTGCTTTCTGCAACTCCTTTCGAAACGCAACCGTCATCACAGAATCCATACCCATGTCCGATAACGCTGCTTTCGGATCCACCTCCCCAACATCCGCAAGCTGCAACACCTGCGCCACACACTCCGCGATCTTCGTAGTCAGAAAAGCTACACGCTCCGCGCCTGGCTGCGGCATGTCGCCTAGATCCTTAGCACTTTTAGCGGTGGTGGAATTGGATGAGGCATCAGCGGTGGTAGTGGTCGTGGATGCCATGGGCGCGCGTCGTTTTGCGATTTTCTCTAGGATGGCGCAGGGAATGTCTTCGTCTGCGTCGAGGAGCCGGCTGCGTAGGACGACGGCCTGAGAGACATCGTGGCGGGAAACCTCGTCCCAAGCTTCGAATGCCTCGGCCCGTGTAACGCTCGTGAAGCCTCTACCCTCCAGCTCAGCCTCAACGAACTCATTATCCCCCATACCACCCACGCCACGCCAACTGGTCCATTGGAACGCAACAGCATTATCACCGAGACGACGACGTCGCTCAGCGAGCGTGTCGAGGAAGGCGTTGCCGCTTGCGTAGGACGCTTGCCCCGGAAACCCGAAGAGCTGGCCGCAGGAGGAAAAGAGGACAAAGAAATCGAGGGTTGCGGCGGGGAACGTGGCGTCGAGGTTCAGCGCGCCAACGACTTTTGGCGCGAGGACGCGGGCGAAGGCGGCGGGGGTTGTGGAGAGGACGAGTTGGTCTTCTAGGACGCCGGCGCAGTGGACAACGCCGAGGACTGGCGGTGTGTCGAGGGATTCGAGAGCGGTGGCGAGGTCTTGGGAGGCGTTTGGGTTGCTGAGGTCGATTGGGACGCTATAGATGGTTGCGCCTACTTTTTCGAGGTTTTGGACTTTTCGGATGGTGTCTTGCCATGGGGAGGGGGCTGACGACCATGTTTTGCGGGGTGGGAGGGCTCGTCGGGAGAGGAGGACGATTCGGCGCGCCCCGCGCTCCGTTAAGTGTGCGGCTACTTCGAGACCGAGTGATCCGAGGCCTCCGGATATCACGTACGTTCCTTCTGGACGTGGGTCAAGGTGACTGATAGACGATGAGCCTAGTTTAGGAAAAGGCTGTAGCCGTGCTACCTTCGCTATTGAGTCTTCCATCTTGACGACATCCGCCCCGGTGACATACTTGACGACCTGGAACGGAAAGTCAACAGATTCGACTTCGATGAGAGCGCCCCATATGTCTGGATGCTCTGAGGCAATGATACGACTTAATCCCACAAGGGGAGCTTGAGCCATTGAAACATCCGTGTCGCCAGTAAGCGCACCATGCGTCGTGGCGTAGATTCTAGCTTTACGGGCTTGTGTAGCAATGTGTTTGGTGATAGCTAGGAGTTCTTGACAAAATCGATTGGCACCGTCTGGAATTTCCTCGCTAGAATCAGATTCTCCTGGAACGTACAGGACAACGGTACCCTCTTCGTCGTTGCGAATATAATCGCCGGCGAGGAATTTACCCACTGGAAGTAGAGTGCAAGTGATTTGGCGTTGACATAGAGCTTGCTGATACGCTCTCGTGAGGCCATCGCCATCGCTGCCCAGAAGAAGGACGCGGTGCAAAGATGAAGGGGTCTCAGAGAGTCGAGCTGGTAGCCAAGAGAGCTGATGGACCAAATCCCCGACGTTATGGCTTTCGCGTGGACTGCCTTCGATCTGAGAGAACCGCATGTTGTTGAACTTGGCTAAGGCTTTTCCAGTATCATCAGTTATGGTGACATCCGAAGCGAGATCCGATTCAGTTGTCTCCGAAGCCGTGACGTAGATGTAGGCAATCTTAGGGGGCACAGAGCCATCGCGGATACTAATATTGGAAACATAGGCAGGCATACGGAGGCAAGGGTCCTCGTAAAAGAGAGTAGATCCAATCGAGGTTGCAGCATCGAACACAGGTGCCCACGATTCGAGATTCCAAGGGACCGCTTGTCCTTCTGACACTGATGGACACACATCAACACGAGCAAGCATTTCCTTGGAGTTGCCGACGTGATCTGTGACATCCCAAGGGAATCCCATATCGGGGACTCCAACACCGGCTAGGTATTCTTGGGAAAACGAAGGCTTCAGCTCTGTGCCAATACGTGATCGTACGCTTGCAATGTCGATATCTTGCCCGTATCGTGGGGTGCTGTCGCTCTGGTGCTCCATCGTAGTTGCGGTAGTATGGGTGAGCCAGGATAAGTTTTGATCACTATCCACATTGCCACCATCAGGGATAAGATGGGACATTAGACGGACTGAATTTCCTTCGACAAGCACCTGGACATCCCGTGGCGCGCTGATTGCAACTGGAACTCGCAAATTGACGTTGGCCAATGAATGGCAGCCAGTAGCCCCAAAGAAAGTATTGAACAGGACCGCTGCTGGAATAATTTCGGTTCCATGAAGCGGGTGACTTCCTGGGAATGGCTTGGTGTTGTTGTCCAATTTTGTAGTAAAGACGGTCTTCTTCTCATCTGCAATGGGTATACACTGACCAAGGAGATTGTGGGCGTCAACATCGTGCGTTGTTCCGCCTTGAACAGCTCCAGTGTCTACCATCTTCCAGAATGCTCGATGTTGCCACTGGGTTTTCGGGATGGTCTTTGCCCACTCCACATTGCCGAAGAACAGGCTCCAATCGATCGGAGCCCCCTTCACCCACATGGTAACGAGACTTTTCATGATCGACCGCGTCGCAGATTTGTTGCGTAATAGGGTCGGCGATACCATAAATTCATCGACGTCCATGTCCATTATAGTCTCACTGACAGAATGCGCGATAATCGGGTGAGTGGATACTTCAAGGAATATGCGATATCCATCTTTGACCGCGCATCGAATAGCAGAAGTTAGCTGGACAGGTTTCAGCATATTTTGAACCCAGTACATAGCATCACGAGGAGCTTGTTCGCGAGGATCCTCCGTCGCGGTGGAATATAGTGGTATGAAGGGGGCCGCCGGCTTGATTGCATCCAGTGCATTTAAGAGCCGTTTCGCCAATGGACCTAGAAGTGGTGTGTGAAAGGCAACGTCTGTGTTGACTTTGAGGACTTTGATACCCTGGTCGTTACAAACTGTCGAGAATTCTTGGACTGCTAAAACCGAACCGGCGACAACACAGGAGCTAGGGGAAGAGTCGATTGCTGGCCATATATCGCGTCGGGCCTGAAGCATCGTCGATACCTCTGTGAATGGTATTTGAATCAGAGCCATTGCTCCTTGTCCCATTACTTCTCGGTAGAGAACTGCCCGTCGGCAGATGACAGTAGCTCCCTCAGCAGGCGTCAAGGCCCCGGACACGACAGAGGCAGCAACCTCACCCACGGAGTGCCCAACGATAGCGCTCGGCCGCGCTCCTTTGATCTGGAGAAGGACCGCAAGGCCAACTTGCACAACAT